GGCTCCTCAGTACAAGGGAGAGATGGACATACTGGTGAGAGTCCAGTGAAGGGCCACGAAGATGGTGAAGGGTCTGGAACATCTCTCATATGATGAAAGGCTGAGAGAGCTGGGACTGTTCAGCCTAGAGAAGAAAAGGCTCAGAGGGAATCCCATCAATGTGTACAAATATCTGAAGGGAGGGTGCAAAGAAGATGGAGCCGGGTTCTTTTCAGTGGTGCCCAGTGACAGGACCAGAGGCAACGGGCACGAACTGAAACACAGGAGGGTCCACCTGAACATAAGGAAACACTTTTGACTGTGAGGGTGACTGAGCACTTGCACAGGTTGCCCAGAGAGGCTGTGAAGTCTCCCTCCTTGGAAACACGGTCCTAGGCAGCCTGCTTTAGGTGGCCCTGCCTGAGCAGGGGTTGGACCAGATGATCTCCAGAGGTCCCTTCCAACCTCAACCATTCTGTGATTCTGTGATATCCATCTTTCCCTGACCACTTTGTCACATCAACACAGAACAGCCACTGTAGCCTGGTAAGGGAGCCATACAGAGAGGTATCAGGAACCTTAGTCCTCCCAATTAGTTGTTTCCCAAAGAAACTCATTAACCTGGAGATACAGGTGGCAGAGATACATCCAACTTAGGTACTGATAGATTTACATGTGGGGTGACCTCTTCTGTGTGAATATTTAGAGGGTAGAAGTGATGTCCTAAGCCTTTTTCCTCCAGTCAGCACACCCTCTATAATAACAACTAAGGCAGGTCATTCCCATAGTATCTTAAAACCACAACTCTAAATCTTCCATAGTATTTTTTTTGAAAGAAATAACAGAGTTTTTCAACAGCTGAATAATTAATGAAATGAAGGAAAATATTCTGCTGAGCCTTTCCATACATTCAGCTCTAGACTAAGATGAAGCATGAAAAAGAAACACTGAAAATATTTTTTTTTCAGAATATATTAAACTTCTGAACTCTGGGAATTACTGATACAGCTATATCACTTGTACATGGCACAAACATTAAAGTGTAGTTCACTTTAATGTGATGGCCAAGCCATCCATGTTAAAAACAAACCAGTCGTCCAAAATCATAATAAACCAATTACCGGCTCCACTGTATAATAATAACATGATAGTGCGCTTAAGAGGTATTCAGAAAAGCTATTTATGTATTATCACTTGCCAGAAGACTTGCTTCCAGCTTTTTTCACACTGCTTTTCCAAGAAAAGTAGGACCTCCAGCTAATTTTGCCCTGTCTGGTGAAAGAAACAACAGAACAAAACCACTCTTTTCAAACGCATCCATTTATTTTGACACCAATTCAACTCAAAGAAAAACCACATTGAGAGAAAAGAAAAGGTCAGCAGAAGAAAGTAAAACAGATCAAAATCTATCACCATGTCTGTCAAACACAGGAGGGCAGAAACATCCAGCAAGCCAACTAACCAGAATCCAAGCTCCACCAGTGGCCAGGTCCAACTGTTTCAAAGGAGGGTGTGAAAATCCCACACAAGACCTAAGCAAAGAATATTGGTATCTCCAAGAATGGGGATAAGAAGTGGCAATCCACAGAAGTCCAGCTGCTGTGCTGCCTGCCTTACTTGAAATGTTCTAGGCTCAGCCAATTTGTCAAGAATTGAACTGATGCCCACACGACTTCACTCAATTCTTCCCAATTGAATTTTCTGTAATGAACTGGCTTTTGGCTTGGCTTGTGGCTATATTTACCACTTTATTCAGCAGAGGTAAAACAGCCCATCACTTACTTGTGTCTTGGATCCCAGCTCCCAAATGTGTTCTAACATCCTCCCCCCTCACACACTAGGTAACCATCTGCTGACATCACCAGCTGCCTCATTCTGTGTATCACCCCTAAAGATCCCCAACACCCTCTCACTGTGATGTCAAGTACGACCAGAACACAGGCCAAAGCATACTCACAGTGCACTGCACTGAATGAGAAAGTAGGCTTAGTTCATAGATCTGCTCTACGCAGTTTCCTGTGTCTTCTGAAGACAGACAGACAATAAAGCTTGGGAGGAGAGGGGCTGCTCCCTAGATATTGTCTCCTACTTTGGAATAATACCTCTTTGGGGTTTCGTAAACACAATATTTGAAAGGTTGTTACATTTAGAAATTAAGATTTACTTAGGTATCATTCACCAGGACATAAATGTATCGTTTTCCTGTACGTTCCTGCCTTCCCCCCCAGAAGCTTTTCCTCATCAAAAGGCTCACAGTGAGATAATTCATTCTCTTAGCCGTGGATTTCTGAAAGCTCTGGGGCTGAAATGTGAACGATTGTGTTTCCTGCTTTAGAGAGACATCATCCTGGAAATTAGTGACTTCCTTTGTGGATGATTTCACCTGGATTGGTAAGGACTTGGGACTTTGGTCCTGGCAGCACCTGGCTCCATCTGACTTCATCATCTTTCTCCTACTGTTAGCCTCCCTTATCTATTGCCAGACCTCTAGCCTGAGTGGCCTCACTGAGTTATAACCCCCTTGGCTTCTTCTGCCAAGGAATTGGGCCAGTTTGCCAGGGAACAGAACTGGACAGACAGTGGGTGTCCTTCTGCATGCATTGGACTGTGTCCAGAAAGCATTGTTCAAAGGGATGCCTTGACTACCCAGATGATGTATGGATCCTGCTGCTAAAGGTAGGTGTCAAAGGCTGGGAAATCAGGTTCCCAAGCCAGCCACCTAGAAATGCTGTGCAATGAACTATGTTTCTGGAGCTGAAGACAGTTTTTAGGATTTGTGTGGTGGCTTTGGACTAGTGCAGCTGCAGGGACATGGGACGTATATGTTCAGAACCCTTCTGATGAGGGGGTATGGTCTGCTGCCTATCAGTGGAGCTGGTGTTGGTATGATGGGTAAGACTGCAGATGGGTGTAAGTCTGTATGTACGTTGTGGATTTGGAGCTGAATGCAGTCAGATCATGATCTGGTGCTATGGACGATGGTTGAAATGGCAGGAGAGTGATGAAGTAAAATTGGTGGCGTAGATCCCTGCCTCAGTGGGCAGTTGCTGTTGTGGAGCTGCAAAGAGAAGCTGTGAACTGTGGCACCTCCCTATATGTGCAACAGGCAGGTGCAAAAAAAGCTACTAGTCATAGGCCCCACCTGTAATTCTGGCAGCCAGAAATACATTTCCCAGAAAGGTTAATCAAGCTGGATAGAGGGGAAATTCTACTAGGGTTTGAACAGCGTGGACTCAGAACTGCATTGCATTACAGAATCACAGCAGTCCTGCTGGAAGGAAAGTCTGGCTTCTGTTTCTTGCCCACTTGCAGATTGCAAATCAACAACCCTGAACATTTTCCTCTTTGCAAACCAGTAGTACTTGAAATCTGAGTCATCAGTGTAAGAGTCCCATAGTGCTCACATAGATACCATAGCAGACCACCCAACACTCCAGAAATTGCCAGCATGACAGAATTCATCTGAATTTTTTCACTTGAACATGCTACATCAGCTTCTTTTCTTATAATACATATGGCCCAAACCCCCAGACATCCTGGAAGAATTACATATTTCAAATATTTTCAAATTAGTTCCCTATTTTAATAAGGCAAAGCAAAATCTTTTGCATTTCACTGACATATGCCTGAGAAGAGGGTTTGAGCAAAATACCCTTTTTGTCAAAGCTTTGCCAAAGTCAGGATAGCAAGTGTACCAGTGAGACAAATGTACATTGCTCCCTTCTCCTTGAAACTCTTCTCAGACCCCTCTTGCCACTTGTTAGATCCATATCCAAAAGCTAGCAGACCATTAAGTGCAGAGCAATGCAGAAGTGGCTTAAAGGTACAACTCAAAATGTAAGGAGGTAAAACAAAGGCCTCTCAGCCTTCTCCATATGATGAGCCATTCATTTTTAGTCAAAAGGAGCCTTGTCACAGCTTGTGGAGAGCAGAGTGAATTCAGTGCTTCCCTTTGTACCTGTGAACTTGTACTAAATGTTATTACATACCCCTACTGGGCTTGTCATAGAGCAAACAGGCTCCTGAGGGCTTCCTCAGGAAAACTGAGGATTCTCCCAGAAGAAGCAGGGCACAGATAGAAGGGAATGCTCTGCTGGCTCCTGGTGGAGGGGGAGGAAGCAGTAGTGCTTCTTCGTATACTTAATCTAAGAAGTTGCTGGTGTTTTTTGAGAGAAGACTCTCGATGCTGTGAACCAGAGCTTCACCGGGTAGAAAGTACAAGTCCTGGTGCCTTTCTCTTGCACAACAGAGCAGCTCAGAACAGAGGCAACTTGTTCAGATATAAATGCCTGCATGGCGTTCTAGAAAGCAGAGGGGTTTATACTGACCTAAGATAGCACCTCTCCTCACAAAGAGCTAATCAACCAGTGTTGAAATACAACTTCACTCAAGTGAAAGGAGGATTAAAGCATTTCCCACAACTTCACTCAGGTGAAAGGAGGACTAAAGCATTTCCCCTCGGCACAGAGGTAGAAAGCCAAAAATCATGGCAATTAAGGAAAAAATTATTTTCTATGAAAAGTATCGTGGGTTTAATATTATCCTTTTCAGAGTGGGACTGGAACTTTACAGTGAATCCAAATTCACCAAGTGAGACTTTCACAAGTAAGACTTTCCGAGTGCAAGCCCAAACTTTCTCCTCCCATTACTTGAAAGTTTATTTCCAGCTCCTCTTCATCAGTAATACAAAACAACAGTATCACACCTCTTTAATCTGCCTCTTTTTTTTGTTTTATTTTTGTAACCTGGTACAAATAACCAGTAGCAGTAGTAAAAGCAACCATTGTTTCCTGTTGACACTTGTCAGAATTAGGCAGAACTCATCTATGTTTCCTCTTTAGCCTCCAGATGCACTAACAAAACCTTTGATATTTGGTATTTTATCCCTGTATTTTTCCCTAGAAGCTCAAACACAAAACATGATGCTGCTGCATGACCTGCCCCACTACTATAGAGAAATTGAAGGAACCAAAATCCTATCAAGAGCCTTTGAGTCCCCCCTAGAAGCTCAAACACAAAACATGCTGCTGCTGCATGACCTGCCCCACAACTATAGAGAAATTGAAGGTACCAAAATCCTATCAAGAGCCTTTGAGTCCAATGAGGTACTAACTCAGCTTCAAATTCCTTCTTGTCCAACTGTCTCACAAGACAGGTAAGAACAGAACTCATAAAGGTAAATAATTTCATTAAAAGTATTTGATATCCATTTGCTCTTACCAAAAGTATTTTCTAATGGTTACATTTTTCTGGCAAGACACAATTTTTTCTTTTTGTTTTAATGAAACAAAACGTGCAATAGTCTGTCAGTTCCCTGGGAAATATGTTGATTACACCTGAAAAGAGGAATGCTAAAATATGTTATGCTGTGGCTTTAGGGCGCAACATCTCCTGAATTAACTTTCATAAAACCAACCTGTATATTGTATTTCTAATTTGGAAAAAATGAGCATATTTCACAAACCAATCACCAACATTTATCATGTTATTCTTTGATCTACGCCTGTTCTGAACCTTTTTTTTTTCTGCATTACAGGTTGACCTAGAATTACGGAGATAAACTTTATAATTAAAATTTAAAATTACAGGAAGCCTGAATTTTGCTTTTGTAGTCATCAATATGTAATCAGGAAGTTTCAGGAATCAATGCGTTTTTACTCTCTTTTACAGGCCCAATTATACTGTTAGCTAGGGGGCAAGATATGGCAGAATTCCTGCAGTTCTTAAGTTCTGGAAAGCTGAACCTCCATGCTGCTCAGTACTCATGACAATTTTTTTTTTAATCTAAATTTCTATTTTTTTACATACATAACAGATTCCAGAGTTAACCTCAAGTCCTCCAGTGTTCTTTCATGTGAGATTTTATCTCTTTTGTTAGCAAGATCAATTCTTAGTTTCCATCTTATTGACAGCCTTCTGGTTTACTACTACTGCTAACTTCTTCCATTATTTGTAGTGTCTCATATCCAACATCTGAATTCTAGTCAGAGTATTTTCATATTATTGGATTATCACACTTGTCAAACTGTGTCTTGATGCCTCCCACTTACGTATTTTCCCTGAGGCAAGTTTTTGTTGTATTCCTTGCATTACAGGAATTTGGGTGAACTTCCATCTGAACTGTTTTAACTATTGACAGACATGAAAGTTTACTGAATTATAGGCCTGATCTAAATTTTAGTGAATATACAGGGAAGATTCATGTTGGCTACACAGGATACCCAGCAAAAGGAAAAATTAAGCTCAGAATAGGCTGCGATATCAGGATCTGAACGCACAAGCAAAGCATCTTTCAGATGACAACTATGTTAGACCCAGCTCTGAAACACAAACAAGAAATAAGTATGGCCAGGTCATAACATTTCTTTTCTCTGTGAACAGGAAAATCTGCATTGTAATACAGGCAGTAAGCTACATTTTTCTGCTAATGCAAACACACACTCCCATGAACTCACCAATTTATACCTCAAAAGAGGGTGGCTGCGTGTTTTACAATATCATACATGTTTTTAAAATGGTGCATTTTTTTCCTAGTCATATAATTACAAGTAAATAAATAAATAGAACACAGTTGTTCTCAGCTTTTAAAAATACTGCATCCATGAATTTTATTACATTGTCATCTTGGACTAGAGTATTTGTTACCAATATTTGCATTGATAAACAGTGCCCATGAATAACCAGAGGCACGCATGTATATTTGTATAATGTTAGGTTACATATATACAAAGAAGGTACCCTAAGGATTTTACCCTATGATCAGATAGTCAGATTCAGCATTGATATACTAAGATGATGTATATAGTTATTTATATGTTTATTGGGGAAGAGTTAATTAAAAAAAAGTTCAGCCATTCCCACCCCCCAAAGAATTCAATGAATTCCAAATCAGTATGTTGCTCAGTGACTATGTCTATGTTGGCAAGTATTGTGGACTACAGGACAAGATGAATAGAGTGAAACAGTTGGTGCTGAGGATCTGAGGTCCAGAAAAAATGCATTTCAGGTGCTCTTTACTTTGCATTACCTCTAGTGTGATTCCAGGGACTGAGGGTCCATTTGTGTCTGTGGTGCCCTCCTGGTGCGTTCCTGGAACACATCTTCCAGTTAATTTCATCCAGAAGGAACCCAGTTCATGTACTCCAAGACCAAGGCAGTGCAAAATAGAGACCATTGGGAGATTCATGCCAAAAGTGCACTCCTGATCCAAACTAAAATGCCAGTGTGAATGCACCCTGTGTGAACTCATACAAAGGCAGGTCTTAATCCTATCCCTCTAAGAACTCTCTTTCCACAGACCTTCTGCAAGCTGTTGGCAACACCCCCCCTCAGATGTGTTGGCTTCATGCACTGATCATATCAGTTACTGGAGCCCTTCACAAGCTCACAATCTAAGACACTGTATTCATACACTCTGGTTTGAGCTCCCCACAACAAAACAAATTTGAAGGGAAAAATGTAACTTTTTAAAAATAAGGGAGGCACTAGCAAACTAATGTTCTGATCCCAGAACGTTAGCTTTTTTTTTTTTGTCTGAACAAAAAAGCCAGAAAACTGGAAGTTGGCTGTCAGAATTCAGAATAAATCTACAATTGTGGAGGTTAGAAATGGTAATAGTCTCTGTTAAATCATTGACTATATTGCTGAGACTCTTAAGGATTGTTCATGATACACTCTTTAAAACTTTGTTCACCCTATCCCTCATTTGATATTCTCTGAGCAGAGACATTTTTTTCTGTGTCCTTGAGATCTTCAATATCACTGGATCAATATCAGCTATAAATGTTTCTTTGTGAGAAAGAGACTTGGAAACATTTTAAGCTTAACAAAGTCCTGTTTGGACTGAATGGATGATCAGACCTTTGTGTGCAATGCTTCTCTTTTCTGTCTAAGATAAAGTGGTTGTTCTGCAACTTAGTAACCTATAGATAGCAGTCACCAAGAATGATTTATTAATGTTTCCAGTGAGAGTCAGTTTAATGAATTCAAACACCACAGCCATGCAGGTGACTTGGCATCTGCCTGACTACTTTCAGAAAGGGGAAACGAGGCTTTAGACAGAACTTAAGAAATGGATGTTTGAGTTCCTTCAGAAACTTAAAAACAGAAAAGCTTTCTGATAATCTATGGCACATCAGATTCTTATTTGGGTACATCGTACAATACATACATATTGCCCTTTGCACCCTGGAAAACTGGATAGAGGAACAGCATCAGGTAGCAGCAGAGTGGTGCTGAACCACATGGAAGGAACTATATGATAGGAGGGCACTGTGCTGCCAAGAAACCAGACAGAACAAAATACAGCACAGCAGCACTGTCTGTGTCTTGTAGATCACGATCTCTCCCATAGATTTCCCTAAGATCTGTTTAGATATCTAGGACTCTACCACAGTTTGAGTCTAAATGTACTCTGAGAAGAAGTTTTTGTAGCCATTATTTTTTCTTCCTTAAAAGCCCATACGCATAACGAAGGTCAGGATTGTAGTGTTCATGGAAATGCTCATAGCCACATAAGAAGAAGCCTATTTCTCCTCACATTTTAGGAGATGTGGGCTCAGGGATGTTATTCTACCTTTGAATCAATGTAAGATGAAGTCAGAATTAGGGGAACCTTACACCTGAAAAACACCATAAGTCTGACTCTAGCTAGTACCTGCAGAGTGGCACTTTTTCCCAGTATAGCTTAATAAAAAACACCCTCTCCCTCCATCTCCAAAGTAATGATCAACACTAGCAAAGATTAATAACAACTCTGTTTAAACAAGGATTTCTTTAGCTGATACACCTCACTCCATCAGGAATCACACATCCAGAAACCTAGAGCAACACCATACTTTGGAGCTCAGGGCAGAGAAACCCAAGGTAATTGGGAGCGAGTTGGAATATCTGCATGATTCACCACAGCCTGTGCTTTGATAGCAGTGCAGTGGCTATACCACAGTCAACAAAGGCACTCCTACTGGTCTGCAGCCATGTCCAGCCGCTTCACTCATCAGTAAAGAAACACCCAATATCAGAAAAAGATGGTAGCACAGATGAGGTCTAGCTAAAGCAAGAATAGGGGCCACTCAGTGATGGAAGGGCTGACAACAAACGCAGACATGGCTGCTGGCTCCCAGCTCATTCACCTAAACATCACTCTCTCCGGTTTCATATGAATGAGGACAGCACACCAGTAAAACATCCCAAGGGTGACCATCCCCATCACATACAACAATGGTTCATTACTTCCTTGATAAGGTTTTCAGAAAATCCTGGACAACTAAGTCAAATTTAAATCACTCAATTTGGTTCTTACAAAATGATAGAATCATAGAATAACTCAAGTTGGAAGGGACCCATAAGGATCATTGAGTTCAACTCCCTGCTCCTCGCAGGACTTATCTCCTTAATAAGAAGACGTGTTCTCCTGACTGGAAAACTGCTGCCACCCAAAAGAAAAGGAAGATTTAAATTTTCAGTGAGTTTGATGTTCATCTTTACAATACTGTAATCCAAAACTATGTGAGGTGAACATGCATCTAAACACGTTGAACCGCTTGATTTCAAATGACACAGATGTATGGGAATGTACTGAATATTCTCAGCCACTAGCACATCCATGTGAAATGCCTGACACAGCTTGCATCCAGTGTGAATTACAGCTACTAAACAGTAACATTTCTCACCTCTCTAGAGATGGAGAGGGGAGGTTTTCAAAGGCACAAATAACAAATCTGAAATCAGTGGGAATTAGATGCTAAAGCTTCCATCTGTGCCATTGCATATATTTGCTGTCCATATGCCACTTACGTAGTACTGAAGGGACAGTGCAGGTATCTATGTGCTGGCAGCTGAGACTCGATTATGCTGTGAGATGTACATGCTGCACATATCTATCAGCTTCTTTCTTCCTCTCACTGATCAAAACATAATAGACTTGATTCAACCTTAATTAAACAATTGCCGATCACCGTTGTACTTACTTCTCCTAGTGACAGTTCACCACAATAGCATTACCCAGAATAAGACTGAATAACTCAGAGCCAAGAAAATAAAGCCAAGTTGTCATTGTTTAAAAGATTTCAAGTAACCATCACTGTTGCTGCCATTAAAGGACATTTTGGTTTTTTTTTTCTTTCAGATATAAAGAGTTCAGGGAATCCTTTCACTGCTGCAAGCTTCCCTGGGGAGCAGAAAGGGAGCATGGAGGAATTGCACAACCTGTATTGCCAGAAGACTACAGGGCAAAGGACAAGTCTCCACGTACATTTGTTGAAGGGCATTGTCACGTCCCACCTAGGAGAAGGGGAGAGTGACTAAGATCCACAAATCCCCTCGGTGTGGATTAAGGTGAAATAACACTCAAGGTCCAAAAACAAACTCCAACTTTAATGGCACAAACACTTCTATAAGCATCAACCCTCTATGTCTTAATATATAATACAAGCTAAGCGGCTTTGTGAGGAGTTGAGGTAGGCCTTGTATTACTTAACAACATCAAAAGCAGAGAGCGAGAAGGAGAAGGAGGAGAGAGAAAGAGAAAGAGAAAAAAGCTGGGAAGCAGGAGAGAGGTAGAGAGAGATAAAGAAATCACCAATCCTGGATCCAGCGTCGGACCTGCCAACGGGGGGGTGTCGGTGTGGAGAGTGCCCCCAGGAGGCTCACATGCGCCCCTATTTCTTGGCTCCAGCCCAAGGTTTCTAGAGTCTTCTTTTACCCCATCTCCAGGATTGGTTGAGACATTAGTCAGTCAAGGAGAGTGACACCGGGCCCCTCCCCGTGGCTGGCTTCTGGAGCTTTCCCTGGGGCATTGTCTGTGCTTACAGCACAGCCATGTGGGCCTCGTCCCTTACAGGCATCAACATTACGGTAGTGGTGTAGACCCTTGGTCAAGGTAGGCTAGACAAATACTTCTTATAATCAAAATGTTTAAGTGATGGGTTTTTAACAAGAATAGCAACAGACAGCTAACAGGTTAGACAGCAATGTAGACCGAGACATGCAAATATCAAAATATCATTTTGCCATTCCAAAAATGGGCAGTTTAAGCTTCTACCCTTTTCACATTGCCCTAAATATTAATGTGGGAATATATTGGTACCCACAAATCTCTGCACAGTGTTTCGCTGAAACACTTAAAGTTCCAAATGACCAGATTTATTTTTTGCCCATCATTTGATAATTATTTACTGTTGGCTGCTGTCCCAAACACCCTTCCTGACCTTAAAAATGTCGCTATTGGCCTAACTTACACTGATGCTCAGCATCCACAACTCCCATAGGCATAAACATGAAAAGTCAGTGCTCAGCTTTTTCAGAAAGCTGTGGTAAAAGAAGAGATCTGTCTAGACAACAGCTGAGGGGAAGAGCTCTGGAGTATGCTTTCTGAGTGAGGGCTCCTTCTCCTAGCCTCTTACCGCAACCAATTTATTCTCTAGAATATATTCGGGTTGGTGCCACTTCCACTGAAACCAGTTCCAAAACTTCTTGTTCATTATGATGGCATTAGTCAAAACAAACGAAAAAAAAAACTGACTTGCTGATAGATAGATAGATAGATAGATAGATAGATAGATAGATAGATAGATAGATAGGCAAACAATGATGCCAAATCTCTGTTGTTGAGACACTCGGGTAGGCTTCAAATCATCATTACTGACTTACAGGAAAGCTCTGAAGGCAGAACATGCTGCTGCTTAGGGCTGACTTGGAGAAGTTCAAGGATAGCCTTCAGCCCTGCAGGCTTTCCTGGAGAACAGGAATGAAAGATGCAGACTAGGCATGTGCATGGCTGTCCAAGGGTTAAAACATGACTCAAAGACTGGAAAGATGCCTTCCTGTCCTTGCTCTGCTCTGTGTTATCATGAACTAGCCGCCCTGTAAAATGATCATAGAATCATAGAATATCTCGAGTTGGAAGGGACCCATAAGGATCATCAAGTCCAACTCCCTGCTCCTCACAGGACTACCTAAAACTAAACAATATGACAGAGAGCGTCATCCAGACGCTCCTTGAACTCTGACAGGGTTGGTGCCATGACCACTTCCCTAGGGAGCCTGTTCCAGTGACTGACCACCCTCTCAGTGAAGAACATTTTCTTAATGTCCAACCTGAACTTCCCCTGATGCAGCTTCACTCCATTTCCTATGGCTGGTCACCAGAGACAGGAGATCAGCACATCCCCCTCCGCTGCTCCTCTTGAGGAAGTTGTAGACTGTGATGTGGTCACCCCTCAGCCTTCTCTTCTTCAAGCTGAACAAACCAAGTGACCTCAGCTGCTCCCCATAAGTCTTGCCCTCGAGACCTTTCATCATCTTGGTTGCCCTCCTCTGGACACACTCTAATAATTTGATGTCCTTCTTATATTGAGGCGCCCAAAACTGCACACAGTACTCGAGGTGGGGCCACACCAGTGCAGTGTAGAGTGGGACAATCACCTCCCTCGACCGGCTAGCTATGCTGTGCTTGATGCACCCCAAGACACAGTTGGCCCTTTTGGCTGCCAGGGCACACTGTTGACTCATATTCAACTTGCCATCAACCCAAACCCCCAGATCTCTTTCTGCGGGGCTGCTCTCCAGCCCCTCATCCCCCAATTTGTACATATAACCAGGATTACCCCGTTCCAGGTGGAGAATCCAGCACTTGCTCTTGTTAAATGATGCTGATGGGACTTCCATCCCAGGAGCATGACAAGGTGCTGTGATCCCACAGTGATAGGATCAGTGCAAGAATGTATAATGAGCTTGAAACAAGAATTTTCATTGCTCGTGTTTTTCTTTTCTGAACATGCAATCCCTTGGATTATTTGTTGTCCAGGCACACTAGTGTAAAGCCCCTGATCCACCCAAGTGAATTCCACTCTGAAGAGAAAAAGAGGTCCAGAAACAAGCCTTCCCTTTTCCACAAGGTGGAAAATGCCTAGGTGGCATACAGTCTGTATACCTGTTTTTACATTCCTACCCTCACATTGCAAGCAAGCAAAGGTTTTGGCCAACTCGGGCACAGTACACAGGTAGAGTGCTTTCATGAGAAAGCAGATGAGTCGCAGCGACTACATGCCTCATCTCAGAAAACCAACTTAGCAGTCAGAAAGGGAGAAGAGGGTTGCAAGCTACTTTATAAACCCATGTTCATGACATCCATTTGTTGTTTGTCTTGGGCAACTCTCACAGTAAAGTGATACTGCAGAAGAGTTGTTCAGAGCATAGCCAGACATCACAATCCTGATAGTGCTATTGTAGGGGCAAAACAGAGTAGCCTTTCCTCCACACTAAGCTTCTGTATTACACAGATTAGCTTCCAGGTAAGTAGCAGAGCTACAGTATCCCCAACGGCACCACCTTTGCTGATCTCAGTGAAACCTACCAGATACAGGCTAGAAATTAATTAGGAACTTACTCTAGTGCAAACAATTATAGAGGAGAAAGCTGAAGTGGGCAAGATGCAAATGAAGTCTTTTCGTGGCTGTGCCTCTGATAGCACTGGCACAAATTTCAGCGAGGAAGTATGAGAAGCCTAAATAAATATGTTTACAATACAGCCTTGCAGGAGAGCTGGAAGGCTGTCTGACCACAGATGCTTGCATTGCTCAACTGACAGCACCCGTGGCACAGAAGCACACATTACACTGGACAGTGCTATTGTGGGAAAGTGCTTAAAGAAGAAAGAGAAGACAATTCTGAACTTGTGGTTAAAGCCAGAGTAGTATGAGCATATTCCCGTTGGACTGTGCTATAACCCGCAAGCCTTGGGAGCCCATTGAGCCAGCCATAAAAGTCAAACAAATCCCTTCTGATTCAGCATAATTTCTCTCCCTTTCTTGCAACCAACATCTCTTCTTCAGCCATACAATTAAGGCCACCCATTCCTTTTAACAACAGACACTCGATTAGACCCCTTGGGTCAAACTCAGCTTTAGCAAGGCCAGGTCAGAACTATAAGGCTATTTCTAATACCAGGAAAATCTTACTGATTATGGCTGATTTTTCCAACTGCATTTCCTTCATTTTGGCACTCCTGTTTGCTCTCTCTTCTGTTGTAGTTTGTTGTTTTTTTTACCTGATGTCCCGTATTAACAACTGATTTGTTTTCCATTCTTTAAATTCAAAGACAGGTACAGTGGTGTCTTCTCATCAGATTATTTTCAGTGAAAAGGACCACGCAGTTTGGCTGGATTCTGGGAGCCCTTTGGCTGAAAGTGATGCCCATAACATAGGAATAACTTAACTCCTTATAGGATCAAAAGATGGAACCTGCACCCATTCAAAGCATTCCCACAGCTCCTACTGAGTGTTACGGGTGCATGGTGAGGGGCTGTAAGGGCCAGGCCTTCAGAGAGGGAATTGCTCAGTGTTCTCAGGAGCTTTGGATTCAGGCATGGGTGCTCAGCACCTCTCAAAATCCAGCCCTGCAGGACTTAGATTTTGAAACTGAGGATATATAAATGGTTACAGGACTGGTGCCACAGCCAGGGGTTCAGCTACTTAGACCATGAGACTTGCTTTGAGAAACCTGGTCTACTGGGGGCTGACGGGGTCCATCTGTCAGAGGAGGGGAAGAGCATCTTCGGTCATAGGCCTGCCAAGCTGGGGGGGAGGGGTTTTAAATAGAGATGCCGGGGGGGGGGGAGCTCCATCCACCCCACTCC